GTTTGAGAGGCGCGACCGGCGATCTGTTCTCCTGTGACCGAGTGTGAGTGACGAGGTCAGTGGTGTAACTGTACTGTCCTACAGCGAACTCACCTCTTTCCGTACGTCCTAACCAGCTTTAGCAGCGTTAAATGACTATCCTCACAACTACAGCGCTGTTACAGCGCTCGGACAGTCATATTTAAGTATTAGTGCATTCCCAAGCAACGAAAGTGAAAGAAAGAAGTGGGTTCATGTAAATTACAGCCCTGATTTAAAGAAAGTAAACTGAGGAAGCTGTGAGGCATTGGAGAGCGTGAGAGCGCTAGTTTTCCAGGTTAGCTGTTTTTAGCAGCTGGCTAACTTGAAGCAGCGCTCTGTCACTCACACAGCACGGAGAACTGATGATACTGTGGATCAAACACGACACAAAAGCACCGCTTTCAGTTTAAACGTTCCTAAAAGGAGGACTCTGTTTGTCTGGTGTTGATATTTTGTGGTTCACCCCTTAAACTACTACGATAGTATAGAGAAATCCAGTCGTCGCTGGCTGGTGTCTGAATACTGTGATGTCATTTGTAGCGGGGTTTTCTTTCTTAAATTATGACTATTACAAAAATAGCCATGCTTTTCCAGCTGGTAAAAACAGCTCACCAGACACTTTCTCCCACTCTCCCATGACAGATTTGTGAAATATTCCACTGTTTGGTGAGTGTTTGTCGTGTTCAGACCATAAAGGATAGTTTAAAACAGCAATTAACCACCCAGGAGCAAAAATCAGCCTTCAAACTTGAAAGAAATAATGTTTTGACATTTATCGCGGTATGTATCGATATCGAACGATATGAATTTTGTTTATCGTGATAACATTTTTGGCCATATCGCCCAGCTCTACCTGTGCTTTCTTTCTAATTAGGTTAATCTAGTTTTTGCAGGTGAACAGTAAACATCTACTAAGTATACCCTATGAATAATGTTCCAATGACCAATAAATGACCAATATATTTTACCATATTTCCTCATTTCTATATAAACTGGGTGGTGCTAATCTTAGGTAACGTTTCCATAAGCATTCCGCTGACCAATCACAAGGCTGGTGTCTCTTGCCCCACCCACAAAAAAACAGTTTCAGAAAAACTTGGTGAGCTAAAGCTAACGCAGCATAACCAAAAGCTAGCAAGCTAGACCACCTGTCTGTAGCTGCCTGTTGTCCATCCATTAGTTTGTCCATACACGAACAATATTCGTTCATCTGTTGCTTCATTCATGTGTTGCTTTATCCATCCGTCAGTTAAGTTACAGATAACGCCCACGCAGTTCTCAGAGAGGTCCGATCAGCAGTTTTTAAGCCCTGCTTTTCATACTTATATTTCTCATTCAAGCTTTACTAGTTGTTTAACACTCAAGTTTAGCATCATATTAACATTTTTAATATTCTACTGTTACTGGTTTAATATTTTACTGTTATTGTTCCCTGGGACTTTTAGACAAACTAACATTTTGGCGTATCATCCATTGTTCACAGAGGAGAAAAAAAGGAAGGGGGCGCTTTGTGTAGTTTCATCATCTATAAAGTTATCATCTACTGCTGTTAGTGTTAGCTCATCTGAAGGGGCAGCATCCATTACACATGCTTTTTTTTTTTAATCAGACATAAAAATCTACCAGTTTAACCTTTAGTGAGCAAAGGATTGGCTAAAAATAAATAAATAAATAAATCCCCAAGGTCAATCAATTCTCTGTTCATTAATTCTTATGAAACTTGAATCTCAAAGTCAGTGAGAGTGCCATATCCTTAAGGTGATATGACAAAAACCATTATCATTAATACATTAAATTTTAACATCTTACATTACTTACATTAATTAATTACCTTTTTATAGACTGTAGTACATCTGTTTCTCTGCATACTTTGTTAGCTCTCCTAATTCTCCTAATAATTAATTCATTTTTATACTGACATTGCAATTTCAAAGAAAGCAATTTTCAAATAGGAAGAGCTGCAATTTTAATTATAGTCTACATCATCAACAAGTGGGAAAATTTAGCCTAGCAAAACAGAGCTTGTGAAACGCTTGTAGATGAGTTAGACCAAATCAGAAGCAAGGAAACACGCTTGTATTTCTCACAACCACAACAAGCCAGAAAAACTGGAAATGTTGATTTTCTTCTTCTTAAAAAAAAACAAAAAAAAACAACTGCAATACTGGTCAGAAAAAAAAAAAAAAATCACAATTAGATATTTTGCCCAAAGCGTTCAGCCGTACCCTTCAAACTTTCTGTTCTTCAATGGTCAGGACGCCCACAGGACCACCACAGAGCGGGTATTATTTGGGTGGTGGATCATTCTCAGCACTGCAGTAACACTGACGTGGTGGTGGTGTGTTACTGTGTGTTGCGCTGGTCTGAGTGGTCTGAGTCAGACACAGCAGTGCTGCTGGAGTTTTTAAACCCCTCATTGTCACTGCTGGACTGAGAATAGTCAACCAACCAAAAATATCCAGCCAACAGCGTCCTGTGGGCAGCGTCCTGTGACCACTGATGAAGAACTAGTGGATGACCAACACAAACTGTTCAGCAACAGATGAGCTTTTGTCTCTGACTTTACATCTACAAGGTGGACCAACAAGACAGATGTGCCAAAAAGAGTGGACAGTGAGTGGACACAGTGTTCAAAACTCCAGCAGCACTGCTGTGTCTGATCCACTCATACCAGCACAACACACTAAAATTTCAATAAATTGTATGTAGTGACGTACAGCACATGAAACACTGACAAAGAAATGACTGTACTTATAGTTTTAGCATTCCAAGTGTGGCACTACTGTTTTGCATTGTGTCCATTTCAAAATCTCATGAGTATCAAGAAAACGGAGTATCGTCATTTTTGCCATGCAGATGTGCTTTGCATCAGTTTAACGTCTTTCTCCTCCACACAAAGGTCATGACCCAACTGGGTCCGATTTCTTTAACCGCAGCCTGAAACCACAGTACATCTCATGCTTGCCTGCGGTGCGACGCGGCCTTGGGGGAGACGTGGGTGGATCGGATGAAACATCTGCTGTCTTATGTAGAGCAAAGCATCAAAGTGAGTCAAAAGGGGAAGCAGTGCTGTGATCTCCCCTGAAATGCAGCCAGCAGGCCTGAGCTCAGAGGAAGAGCATTCGCGTTTACTGTCTCATTTACCATTTTACAAACCTGGGATGCAAAAGAATAAGCTAGAGAAAGCAGATGTGGGAACAGATTGGACAAGTCTTCTTTTACACTCCAGGGTATAGAGTTATTTGCCCCACTGAAGTTAGAGCAGATACACTCTTCATTCATCCACACACACAGTACACCCGCTCCAATTATTATTATTTTTTTTTAGCTCTTTACTTTTAATCTACAACCTGAAGCGAACAAAGTGGTCTAAGGATAAAACTTTAAGAAGAAAATTGAAACATGTACAGGTTGTGTTTGGGGTTGTGATGTCCAGCATTAAACAAAGCCTGCTCGATATTGTCCAAGGTTTGAGAAATTTGAAATATCTGCCAATGTAACCTGTATCTGCCAATCACTACAAAAAAAACAAAAAACAAAAAACATATCAGTCCAGATTCACATTATGCACATAGCATTAATGGACAGCCTAACATCTCTCACTTAAGTTGTGAGGCTGTATTGAGTTATGAAAATGAAAAGATCGGATCAGATCGGACCGATATGCATCAGAAAGTAAAACAAAGAAATGGATCAGGATGTCCCTTGAATAAAACATCTAAGAACACCTTACAGGGCCCTGCCTAGTATCAGATAAAGCTAGACGGTATATGTTGCTCTTTAACTCTATGGTGTCTAAAGGCGTTCTCAATTTTTGTATATAACAGGACACCCATGTGTTTTCTAGTAAAATGCTCCATTACCTTCGTCCTTACTCCCCAAAACTGTCTGTGAACTCTTCGCACACCATTTCACGTGTCTCTGATGTCAACTGAATGTCGATTGAAGAATGAAGGGTCTCTGACGTGATGGCCAAGTCCTTACTGATTTCCTGAGTGTCCATTGGTCAGTTTCACACGTTTCACGCCAAGACAGAGATGATATGTATCTCAACCCTTCGTCACAGCCTCATAACTGTGGATGCGAGTCAGGAGATGGAATCAAAAGGGCAGATTCTACAGACTCAGGAAATGTCTGAACCATATTTCGGCGCTATATTATCGCAAAGATAGAGCAACGTATATAGAAACATCAAATCTGACATGCTGGTGGATTTGTGGCTTTTACCCCCTAAATATTCAAAATAACTCACCCAGCTAGTCTGGAAACAAATCGAACAGGCAGCCTTGTTTTAAAATCAGGAAGTAAATATGAAAACATGAAAATGTATTAAAGCTTTTGCATAAAGAAACCTTTGCAAATTCACTGCATTGCATGATTGAGAGTGCCTTCTTTTTACCTCATATTTTGACGCTCGTCCTACCCTGAAAAAGACGACGACAACGACAGCTACAAAAACAACAGCCCTAAAAATAACGACGGCTGCTGAGATTCTTTTTCGTTTTAACCTTTAATTCCGCTAGCGGCAACATGCAGAACAGGAGCCCGTAAAACTGGGCTAATATGTATGATCAAAGCAGTCAGGCTGGCTGCAGCAAGTGTACGCTGACACGGCTGACACAAACACACACACATTCACAACTACTTACTCACTCAAACAAACACACACACACACACACACACACACACACACACTTTCATCTCATAACCAAGAGAGGCCAAGAGGAATTTCTCCCTCAAGCAATTAGCCAAATGGGTAACACATCTGAATACACTACTCATTTTCAGCAATAACAACTACTTTAAGGTCAGTTTCAGTATCGTCACTCAGTCAATGCAAATCTGACCTCTGCACTTACATGAAGTGATTTCCCTTCAAGCAGATGCGTCGTAAAAGAAATGAAAGAGGCCTAAAATGGGCTACAATGAGGTCTAAAAAAGCGTGCTGCTGAATTCTACATATAGTGATGGTAACTTACTCATTTGTCGGTCTCCGTAGCTGATGGCCTCCGCTAGAGGACTCCATCCCTGAGCATTTTTGACCTTTACTGGTGCATTGTGGGCTAGCAGGAGATGTGCGCACTCTGGGGACGAGAAAACGAAGGAAAACGCATTAAGAAAGCAGAGATACGAAAACAGGAACAGCATTTTTGCAATGGTTTAGACTTGTTTGAGCTGCTTGCCAATGCTTTTGGATTCAGATTCAGATTCAGAAATTATACAGAAATCAGACAGAAATTTAACCAACACTTGAAAAACACTAAGACACACAGGCATAGCTGCTCTTTTCTAGGAATGACATGATACGCATGTTAATATTGATTTTTTTTCTTCCCCTAAACAGGGGTCACGAGATGATACACTCTGTGAATCAAATAGAGTTAGATTTCATGTTATAAAATGCATGATAACAGGAATGTTTCAAACAGCCCATATATATGAACAAGGACTTGCAGCACATTTATGTATGACAGCTAGGGATGCAAATCTTGGCAAGTTTTTTGACTGACAACCAACCAATTAGTCAGTGATTGATCATTACCCGGCAAGCCTAAAATCAAGTAGGCAATTGGCTAAACCATGTTTGAAATTGATGTAAAATACTTGATATATACACAAATTACATTAAAGCACTACATTACAGTACACTATAGTACTTTAATACAGTATACCGCTGTATGTGAAAATAATATTTAAAAATGATCACAGTATTTCAAAAGTTATGAATTAAAAGTATGAATTGCATGTCAAATTTCTATTCTGTGTCTGAATAAATAAATAAATAAACACATTCCACTCATTTCTTGCTTAGAGGACTCACTGACTTGTGGTGAGGGAGCCAGGAAAAACTAAGCATGACAGCAGCTCAGCCACGACAAAGACCCACACGTTTTAGAACCACACATTTTTTGCACACACCACAAAACACGCTTGACTTCAGCCTTTACACTAGTCACTCGACTTTGCACTTTCCTCTAAACTAGTGTTATTTTATAACACTAGACGAGACTGCAAAAAGCGTTAAGTGACGTTAAGTCACCAGCAGCTCAGTTTTTTTTTTTTCATCCACAAACATGGTCATACACCAATCAGGCATAACATTATGACCACCTCCTTGTTTCTACCCTTGTTGTCCATTTTATCAGCTCCACTTACTATATAGGTGCACTTTGTAGTTCTACAATTACAGACTGTAGTCCATCTGTTTCTCTGCATACTTTGTTAGCCCCCTTTTACCCTGTTCTTCAGTGGTCAGGACCCCCATGGACCCTCACAGAGCAAGTACTATATGGCGATGGATCATTCTCAGCACTGCAGTAACACTGATGTGGTGGTGGTGTGTTAGTGTGTGTTGTGCTGGTATGAGTGGATCAGACCCAAGCCTACTACTGATGTAGTAAATGTGTCCAGCATATCTAAGGTCACGAAATTTCATTACAAGTGGTCAATGGAGACACATGTAAGACATGGAAATGCCAGGTGTAAACACCTACATGTCTATTAGGCATGATATTTATCATTATCATGTTAGCTTACATCACATCACAGTATGCTTTTCTGAGCATATTGTGGATACTGTTGACACTTCTAAAAACAGCACTGCCCAACTGCATGTTTCATTACATATACAAGATGCGTGTGACAGACTGAATAAAAATCACTATTATAATGTCATTTTTTAATGTGAAATTACTGTTTTTTTGTCTGTTCCAACTTATCAAACCTCAGAAAAAATAAATGTCATGATTTACATCATATATCCTGAAAATGCCTCGAAGTACAGTGATGTTATATTGTTGGCATATCGCCCACCTCTACTCGCTGTCCACTTGTGATTAGATCACTCAGGACAGACATTAATAACAGCAACAAACAGGGCTATAGGACAGCTGTATCTGTTACCAAGGCGTTTCCATCCCATTCAAACTGAACGCTCTCTTGTCTTTAACCCAAAAAGAGGCCTAGGAAGCTTAATTTAACATCTTTCTGATGCCACGGGCACAAAGGAACAGCTCTAATTTTGTATTAAAGTCTCCACCTCCCCGGGGAACATGTCCAACTCCAGCAGCTCTAGAAAACCTAATGAAGCCCTTCCCTAGTAACCAAAGTAAAACATGACTCCCGCGATAAAAAGGGCTTGTGTGCTCGGCAGGGGAGGGTGGCGATGGCAATAACATGTTTATTTTCTCTGGGAAACCATAAAAATAACATTGTTTTCTTTCTACTCGTTCGTTTTAATCCAGAGAACAGCATATATTCCACTTCCCTTGGAAAAGGAGCAGCAGCAAACTGTCAGTTTCCCTTTTTGCTACCATGGCCCTTGTTCCACAAACCTGGTTCGTTAGAAAAATACGAAAGCCAACAGAAACTGCTGAACAAGTGCCTCACTGATTCATTTGTAGACAGAAAAAAAGAAACAGGCAACAGGGAACTGGCAGCAGAGCAGATATTAATAACAACTGTTTTGCAACTCACTACAATTGACTGCACTAATTATTTAACAAAAGGCGCACCATAACGACTCTGGTGGTGCTGAGCAATGCCTTTATTCCTCCCACTCAGGGCTTGTTTGAGTGATGCTTGGCCCCTTTAAATGAACACATTTCAGTTCACCCGGAACAAAGGCCTTGCTTAATCTTCAACAAGTTGGACAATAAAGACGTGATGCGTGTCGACTCGGTCACGACAAAAACGTAACGGTAACTTCAAAAAGCAAAAACAATGTAACAAGATGAAACTATTGACAATTTCGGTTAGTCCATTCATCACAATGTGAAGGGCAGTTGCCGTTAAAAAAAGAAATGGTGAGATGTAAACAGTCTCCAGTCGACCACGTGCACCGACTAATTTTTGGTCTAATATATTGGACACTCTTAAATCAAGTCCTCAACTGTAATTTAGGCCCTAATCCCTTAACAGTCCCCCTAATTTGTGCCTGCCTGGTCCTTCACAATGTGTTATTGCCTTCACTACCTTACAAACCAAATATACCATTCTTCTTAAATGGGAGCAGGCCTCTCCTCCATCGCAGGATAGTTGGATCCGGGAAGTTCTATTATGTATCGAGCTCGAAAAGTTAAGATTTGTCCTGAAGAGTTCCTTGAAATCCTTTCACAGGACCTGGGATCCTATGCTTAATTTTATCAACAACTCTGTTTCACTCAAAGACGACAGCGATGCCTAAACACGTGAATCAAGTTTGAGTTTGTCTTCCCCCAATTTTATTTTTATTTATACATTTGTACATATTTATTTATTACTTACAATTACTATCATTTATATAATGATTTTGCCACTCTTGCTCTGGTAGATATTCTGTTTATCTCTGTCAGATCCCTAGGAGCAGCTTTAGTGGGAAGGACGGGTTCTAGGGGGGCATAGGTGGCTTGAGGTTGAAGGGTTAGGGGGTAGATGCAGAAGCACACTTTTTATTGTCTCACTTGAACAATGTAATATATTTGTGACTCTACAAAATGCAATAAAAAAAGTTCAGCGGAAAAAAAAGAAAAACGGTGCAAACGTTACAAATGGAGGTTTTGATACACTATATTGCCAAAAGTATTCACTCGCCCCCCCCCCCAAAATCACTGAATTCAGGTGTTCCAATCACTTCCACGGCCACAGGTGTATAAAACCAAGCACCTAGGCATGCAGACTGCTTCTACAAACATTTGTGAAAGAATGGGTCGCTCTCAGGAGCTCAGTGAATTCCGTCTGGCAATCCGATGGGCGAGTCTGGGTTTGGCGGTTGCCAGGAGAACGGTACTTGTCTGACTGCATTGTGCCAAGTGTAAAGTTTGGTGGAGGGGGGATTATGGTGTGGGGTTGTTTTTCAGGACTTGGGCTCGGCCCCTTAGTTCAAGTGAAAGGAACTCTTAATGCTTCAGCAGACCAAGAGATTTTGGACAATTTCATGCTCCCAACTTTGTGGGAACAGTTCGGGGAGTTTGGCCCCTTCTTGTTCCAACATGACTGCGCAAAGGTGCACAAAGCAAGGTCCATAAAGACATGGATGAGCGAGTTTGGTGTGGAAGAACTTGACTGGCCTGCACAGAGTCCTGAGCTCAACCCGACAGAACACCTTTGGGATGAATTAGAGCGGAGACTGTGAGCCAGTCTTCTCGTCCAACATCAAAACAAACTGCCCAGGAGTGCCCATATTTTTTGCTTACAACTATATGCATGTTCTCTGTAAAACACTAAAAATATGTCTTCACATTCTCAGAGGCCTAAAAGGAGAGCAGAAGAAGCAAAAAAGTGAGCCTGAGTGTGCAGAAAATTCTACTCCTCTAATCTACATATCATGTTTATTTAATGGTGAACTCCTTCACATGCATAATAGATGAGTATGATTAACATGCTGATGGGCAGAATTTAATAAGACATAGTGAAACATTTACTCCAGCTCTGCTGCCTTAAGTGCAGGCCTACTGCATAACTGAAAACTAAAAACATAACATAGTGATTGGCTTATTAGAGGCGTATTAAATAACTGGCACCTCAGAGCGTTTCTGACACAGTCCTCACTAAGGGCTGAAAGTAGGCTGGCATTGTCCTCATGGTCCACAAATCTTATCCTCTCAGTATCTCAATGGGTTTTCTTTTCTGGAAACGTATCTGTCTCGTTCCGTGTGGGTCGTCTTCATTGCTTTGTCCCTAAGGCTACGTTCACATTACCAGTTTTAAGTGGCACAAATCCGATTTTTTGCCCTAATGTGACTCAAATCTGATGTTTTCAGGGCTGTGTGGACATGCAAATCTGATCTTTTCAAATCAGACCTGAGCCACTTTCATATGTGGTCCTAGATCGGATACGTATCTGATTCGTGGCCATGCAACCTTAAATGTGATGCTCAGATTGGAATTCATGTGCCTTTTTCCACTGCATGTGCGCCATCATTCAGCGTTACCATGGCAGCAGCGCCGAACAGCAGTTAAAGCCTGTAAACGGTGGAAAAGCAAGACATCTCACCCTTTTCGCCTTCGTCTCGCTCTAATACTGAAGCTGAGAGCTGATCAGAGATAATTATCTTCGTAGTGAAGCCTCGTTCCGCTCGTTAGTTTGTTTGCTGATGATGCACATGACGCACGTGATTCACTCACGTGACGTTACTGAGTAGGATGTGCGCATGTGGGTCACCTTAGGACACCAGTTCGTTCACATTAATGACAGATTTGAGTCACTTACCTAAATGAGTGTGAACTATCCTGTCAGAGAGATCGGACTTGAGCAAAAAATCGGATTTGAGCAATGAGGCTTGTAATGTGAACAGAGAAAACGTAGAATCCGGGAAAAAGTACTTACCTTAGTACCTTAGTACCACATAGTAAACACACTTTAAAGGTCAACCTTCACATTTCTAAATCATACCTCAGGGTTTAACCAAGGCCTGACTAAGGAAATGAAGCCCCATTTACATCTTCTGCTCTTTCCACATAGAAAATCCATCATGCCGCCACAAAACACAAGCTGTTTTTGAGAGAACAGTGTCATATTTAGTGTCCAATTTACACAGCTTACTCTCAATTGCAATCAATCCGCCGAGAAACAACCAGCGTCTGAAATTCGCTTCTTTAGTTTTGCACTGAAGCCACAAGGCTAACGTTGCTAAAAAGTAATAGAAGCTTATGATCCCCAGTTAGCACTGTGCAAACTAACAAACAACATAATGCATCTCAAACAGACCTGCTACACAGTTTTGGACACTGTATGATATACTATTATCTATAAAATGGACAAAAGGTATACTGCATAACTAAAAATAGCAAAATAAACAGCTGCCACCTTTAAGCTTGAATGTTACACATATATCTATTTTCACTGGATAATACTGTCATACAGTGTCAGAAGTCACATAATCAAGTCGATTTGAGCCTGTTTACAGCTTAGATTAACATAAGTCTAATGTCCAGACATGACCAGGCACCACCCCCACAAAAAAGGAAAAAAAATTAAGCTTTTAATGGTATTAACAACAAATCAATAAACATACAGATCACATTTTTCCCTTTCGGTTTCTTTAAATGTTTAGTGTGTAAACCTGCAGCCTGCTGTTTACAGAAAGACTGTTCCACTCAGCATTGATGGCTTCAAACAGTTGAAAAACAAAGCCAAGCTAGTTTACTAGTTTATGTTTAATACAGGACCAAATATTCTCTGATAAATCTGGACCAGGCAAAACCATCAGTAAAAACCATTAAATTTTGGTCCGTTTGTTTTGCACGGAAGTGTACATGTGTGATAAGTGGTCTCTGAGCACCTCTGAACCTGTTGAGTGATTTGATCGTAATCCAATTACAATGCATGCTGGCTGTGTTTACACCTGGCTTTTCATGCCGTCAAGTGAAATCCGTACGTAATGCGATCACCAGAATCGCACGCTGATGCAAGGTGTAAACAGCCTCCAAGAGATTACTTAACACCATGACTGCTTGAGGCAAATGTGTGAGGATTTAGGAATGCAGTTCGTACAATGCCAATTGGTGGCATTTAATCTACTTGTTAGCTACATTAGCTTTGCAGCACCAGCACAGAACTAAAGAAGCGAATCTTGAACACCAAACGTCTTGGCTGGTCAAATAACTGTGGGATTACTGTGCAAATTTGATCCGTTAACTGTGTTTTCCTTTGAAAATTACCGTTTAAAAAATAATGGCTAAAAGTGCAGAAAAGTTGCAAAGAGTCAGACATTTTCTGGAAACAGATGCAGCTGGTGGAAGCAAGAGAACAGAAAAGTAATATTTTTCTGGCAGCACCACAGATGACGGAGCACCCCTGGGCAGCGAGTGTGGGTGTAAATCTCCGAGCCCGAGTTTGGACGGGGCGCGATCTGGCCTGCTGGACTGGAAGCATAAAGTCTGCTACCGACAGCCACCACAGAGAGCCGGTCCTGCTGCGTGATCTAAGCGTGCCCTCTCTCATTTCCCTGCTTTGACCTATAAACCTCCCACCCCCCACCTCGATTGCGTAATAATGTCAGCATTTAGCAGAAATACTTTATGTAACAAAGAGCAGACCAGCTGAGCGAATCGCTTGTCCTTACGCTCTTTTCTCGCTCTCGGGCCACCCAGGCTGAAGCTCTGGCCTTATCCCGTTATTACAGAAAGCGGGGACAGCGCGGCTCTGCTTCGCTCTGCTTAGCTCGGCTTTCATCAGCTGAGTGGACACAAAGAGAGCTGCTGGACCGCTGCCTGGTCACCGCTACAGCAGAGGCCTCATCATCCTGGCCAATCAGAAGCCCTGGATGGACGTGTGCGGGCTGCAGATGGGGCACTTGTCTCAGCACTTGAGCTGGAAAGTTTCTTTCTCTGCCCACTATCAACAAATGAGAATGTTGCTCTGACAGCAAAAGTTCACCTTAACATACAATTTACATGGAACAACACTTCTTTTTTCTGACATCTGATTAGTTGGGACAGACAAAGTAGTGCAACATTAAAAAAATCTAAGAAAAACTATGAATCCAATGATTAGTAAATCAACATTTCACACACTGTACTGTACTAAATCAAACTCAACAGGACCAACTGTGATTTCTTTGTAATCAAACATGCAGCTGGGATGTGGATTTTAAGTACTGACTTTATCCACAACACGCTCAGAAAAGCATACTGTGTATATTAATATCCAAGCCCAACATATATTTGAGAACTGGCATCTGTATCAGACCTAAGCAGTTTAGGCCCATTGGGTTCGGACACATATTTCAAGCTCTGTTTTGGGTCACCAAAAAAGAATGTGGGTTATATTTCATGATTCGGCATTCACCAAACACACAAATAACATTTTATCACTATCACTTCTTACTCTGAAACATTATTGTTAAAGCACTTGAATCGTTGAAAAAAAGGTGTGTATTAGTGAAATGAAAAAAGAACCATCTACTCGCAGGACCACCTGCACATTAATATTTTAAACAGTCTTGTGCTCACAATGTACGCTACGGCACAGAGCTGACCGCCTCTCAATATAAAATCTTCATGAAAATTGCTCGATTACAGTAACACTAACGAAAGCATACATTTAGTATCTCAAAACATGCTTGTTCTGTTCATCATGCCACGACTGATCTATTGCTTTCGTCACATGCTAAAGCAACTGTCTGTAAATGATAGTATCCAAATATGAGTTGTAACACAGGCACAGGAATCACAGAAAAAACTGCATGGATCCTGCTTTATTTACTGTGGCAGATTATATGGAGCAGAATTTACCAAATGGCTTGTTTTGTATTCAGGCTGCACTGGAGAACAGCTCACACACTCATGGAATACAGAGCAGGAACACGAGCAGAGCTGGACATTCATCATGTTCGGTTTCAGTTTGTAGCGCTCTGAACTCCAGGCAGCCGCCTGCCACAATATTATTACTCTGGTTTTCAGGATGCTTTGATGTGAAGGTAGTATTTCAACTGCACTGATTTTGGGGCATCAGAATTTATTATAATTGATCATAACATTCAACAAAACATGCGATCCCAGAATAAAATTCTTGGGCTACCATCAAACATGAATAATCAGAGAAAACAAGCTTAGTGAAATTATGTTTTCATTGTGTATTTTCTACTACCGTTTAAATAGTTTCACATTTCTGAAGAGGAATTCTATCAATTCTTCAAAATTTCTGCACTTCTGCAGTCATTAAGGCGTAAACAAAGTCTGATGTGAAAAGTTCCATTCCAGAGAAACTTCTTCCTATTTCAGTTCTCTTTACAATGGTAGTGACAGGAACTAGGGGCCATATCTACAGCGAACATATAAGTTTTATATATAGTTTATATATATGATGTTTATAATAGTAAATGGAATTCTGGACTGATATCTGATATTCTTCTTGTACATATTTGGCGAAGGCAACACGGACACTTCTAAAAATGTAGAAATTAGAGATCAATCCACCTGGATTAGCATTATCCAGATAAGTAAAATGTATTTGCATACAAATTATTAAATGGAGATACATTTCAGCACAGCAGCCCGTTGTCGCCTAAACAAGCTGCTATTCCAGAGTCCAATAAAATGTCAGTTTGAAATATGAGCCAAATTGAAACGTCTTTTTTTTTTTTTTAAAACAATTAACCATTGACACCAACAGGATTTTGTTATCATTGTGTTTGCCTAGTAGAAAGAGTAAATCTGAGAGTTTTCTTTGGGGACTACATTGCATCACAACACCCTTCACTACCTAACCACAATGAACGTAGGAAAAAAAATAACATATTTAAAACCAAAACCTTTTAGTAATTTAAAGCAATGTAGGCATCCGTGTATTCACAGCTATTCTATGCAATAACTTTGTGATGCAGCTTTCAGAGACAATAAGCTCTTCCGACGTCTGATTCTTATCACAACCACTGTGAACAATTCTGAGAAGAACAGTGCATTTCACCTCAAATCACTCTGACTGACCTTGTTTAGATCTTAACCATTAAGCAAAAATGTTGAATAAAATTCAGTGGAACACCTGTTTAAAGTCAGTGTAAACAGGAAATCATAACGCATTATCCTTTCGTATCAGGCAGGGTCTGTGTTTTAGCTGAATGTTTGTGATGAAAGGTGTTTGGAGGGGGAGGTGAAAAGTGACTATTATTTGCTATTTTATTCCGCCTGCTGATGCACGGTGAAAAAGCCATAACTCAGGATTTCAGAAGCAATTACAAGCAAAAGCAAAAGTCATTACATTTTGATTGAAGCTTATGGGTCTTTGAAATGACTTCAAAATTAAAACAGAATCATCAAATTGAATCAAACTGCAATGAAATTTACAACCTCAAACCCCAAGCTGTTTATCCATGACTTCTGATCTTTTCTGTGATAAACACTGGTCATGTTTCTTTGCCCTCCTAAACAGTAAAGCGTCACAAAAAGCACCTAAAGTATTTCAACAGAACAGCAGTTCCTCCTTACCTTTATGACCCATCATTACAGCCAAATGAAGAGGAGTGTTTCCTGCAGAAGAAAAAACAGAAGAGGGATGAATAAGCACTCAGCCCACATACAACTGCTCCATGAATCAGTACTCTTTAGATACAAACATGGATGAAGTTCACCGAACTTAAAAATAGCTTTAACAGCAATCAGGCCCACAATGATGACTGCATTCGGCCTGAATTCTGAAGAAGGCTCCGCTATCCACACAGGAGAAGCCTTTTTGTTTCTTGTCCCCTCAAACACGTTCGCCACTTTTTACATTTAGCGAGGCAGCCGAGGAGTTGCTGTGTTAAATACTACATGAGGTGGAAAACAAATAATTCAACACTTTGTAAGTCTACAAAGTGGCTCAAAGCAAAAAATTGCCATGACCCAGCTTGGTAGCATGGCCTACACCAACGCAGGCCATGAGTGTTCAAACATGAAAATAGGACAGTTCCACTTGGTTTGGTGTTAATTATTCCGTTCTAGCGAAACTTAAAGTAAGACTTGTTCTCAATGGGGGTGAAAAGAACTAGATGATTATTCTCAGGGGTACATTTTGTTTTTTCCATCTGAATTTACATGACCAAATCATAAGGCAAATTATTCAGTAACTACATGAGATAAATGTAAATTTTTATTTTATTTATTTATTTTGCTAAAAGCTCCCCTCAAATTAACAGAACATGTGTTTTATGATCGTACACATATTGCTATATGCTTACAATTTACTGCTGAAAGCCAAAAATCTTAGACACTCTTTGTATTATTTTATAAAAATATTTTTTACAAAGTAAACCACTGAAGAGACGCCGTCTGTTTATAGCTTATAGCCCAGATTTGTGGAAAAATGGGTCGACTTTCAGTAGACAAAAAAAATCTCAGCTTCTCTTATTATAGTTCAGCTTCTTCTATTATAAGGGTTTAAAATTACATTACCCATCTATTTGACTGGAAAGAAGACAGTTACAGCTCTTACACGACACCCACTCTTTGAATGTAGCTTATGAAATATGAAAGTTGTGAAGAATATGACGAAGTGTGTTTTGGAACCACCGGTGGTCCCAAGGAGTTGAAAAGGTTAATGCCTCTAAAAGCTACCTCACAAACAGTTATTACATGAAATGGTCATGAATCTGCTGTCTGGTGACTAACACACTGTTTTATAGCAGTTTTGAGAGAAGGTTTTGGCCTAAAATAAAACAAGTATTATTTTACCATCATCAACAATACATAAACACATGTAGATTTACTAGTCGTTTTGTAAAAACGGCCTTTTTTGCTTTGTGGAAATACTGAAAATTAGTAGACACCTTGACAGAAATTGCACATCTTCAGTGTGTTTGCCTGAATAAACCTGTAAAGGCTTTTCTTCAGCTAATATTCATAACAGAACTGAGGATGTTCTCTAAATTGCATGTCCTGTGTTGGCCAGAGTTTGAAACAGGCTGGCAAGTGGGTGTGAGGAAACAAATTCATCATCTGAAGAGCTTACATACTTGGCATCTGATGTTCACTAGTTAATTAAAATCACTAAAATAGACATAAGAATTTAAGCTTGTATGAAAGAATTTACACTTATGAAAACAACCCACTATAAATGACCCAACCAAAATCACACCTTGTGAATATTAACCTGTAAAACCCTTACTAAGCTTATGTAGTCAGTGTATTTAAACAGACACTGGTGGATTCGTTTGCTTGATGTGGAAAGCCATGATTCACAGCCACATGCGCTGTTATTGAAGCATTCACAGCAAGGCTGACCATCTTTGCTGCCAAACACTGGCATTGTTGGACCCATGCTAAAGAGAATCACCACAGAAAAAGTAACGGCACCGCACAGAACGGTTTTCAGTAAAGTGCTCAATAATAAGAGCTTCAGTCAGCCGTGAGCCCAAAATGTTCTTAACGGACTGCATTATTCAGAAATTTTGAAAACATGGTGGAATTCCCTTTTAAGCCTGAGTGACCGTATTTCTAAAACCACCGCGAAACAGACATGTTTTAACTTTACTGAAGCACGAAAACATTCACTGAAAAGTTTTCTTGAAGTTAGAAACACACATTTGCGGCTAACAGTGACTAAAAACCTCTCAGAAACGAAGTTAGAGAAGTTAGCTAGCTAGTTAGCAACGCGTTAACATGCTAACGCTAACTATCCTACCAGCCTCGTAGCTGCCGAGTTACGGCTGTAAACATAAAGAGCTGAAGGCCAAACGGCGACAGCTGAACAGCCCGTCCCGTAAAACTCACCGTGAACGTCTTTCTGTGCGATGTTCTGAGTCCGAATAAGGGACGACAATCTCCGCACGTCTCCTTTAAACACACATTCGTGAACAGGAAAGTCCGCGCCGCTCCGCGCCACCGGGTTTTTGTTTTTGTCATCGACGGTCAGCGGAGCCGTGGTGGCCGCGTTGTTGGCGTTGATCTGGGACTCCCGCTGCTGGGACGGTGATCTAACCAGCTTGTGGTTGCTGAAGATCCGGTTCGTTCTGCTTTTGCCTCCGCCGCCGCCGACACCAGTCCGGGCGGACGACGTGAACGTCCCCGTGGCCGCCTCCTCGTCCGGTTCCAGCAGATCCTCCTCGTCCTTGCCCGGCTTGTGGTCCTTGCGGAGGGAGCGGATCTTCTCTCCGGTCATTTTGCCGAGCGAAGCGAAGGGCGCGGCGGGCCGAAGAGCGCGGAGGGGCGACGCCGCCGGTGGATGGACGCGCAACGGAGCAGCAGCAACAACAACAACGGCGGCGGCGGCGGCTCGCACACCATGAAAACAGCCGAGCTGGGCGAGCGTCAAAAAACACCCCGGCACGGCATTGCTTAACCTTACTGACTGACCTACGATAGCGTTTCCCGACGCGCTGCTCCCGCCGCCGCTGTCATGCTAAAACCGACCGATAAGGAAGAGCCATCTGCCGTTTTCCGCTCGTGCTCTCGCGAGAACTAGTTGGAGCTATAGCGCCCCCTGTGCTGTTATTTTGAGTGTGCACCGAGCTGGACGGCCGTAAGGGAGCAATTCATTCAGAAGTGATTATTCTCACTCCTCTTACTGCCTTCTCTTTTATCCTTGCTCCCCACGCCCTGCTCTCTATTACTCACTCGCTACGCCACATTCTCCACTCTCTACTGCTACTGCTGCACAATTACTGAGACTTTTACTACTCCTGCTCTCTACTCCTCACTTCATATGCACTACACCAAACTCCCTATATCCCACTCCCTACTCTCCACTCCCTATTCTCACTACACTCCACTAACTACTCTCTACACCCTACTCACTACACTCCTTACTCTCCACTCCCTATTCTCAGTACACTCCTTACTCGCTACATCCCACTCCCTACTCACTACCCTCCCTACTCACTACACCCTACTCCCTATATCCCAATCCCTACTATCCACTCCCTATTCTCACTACACTCCACTAACTACTCTCTACACCCTACTCACTACACTCCTTACTCTCTAATCCTTACTCACTACACTCCACTCCCTACTCACTACACTCCACTCCCTACTCACTACATTCCTCTCCCTACTCCCTACACCCTACTCCCCACTCTCTACTCTCTACACATTACACTCCACTCCCTGCAAAGGCTTTCAAACCTCTTTAAAAGACTGACCTGAACTAGTTTTACAACGTCACGTGTATGAATAAATCCCAGAGCCTTATTACAACTAGACAAAGATTTATCATTAGACATTAAATTAATAAAATATAACTTTGCATCATACATCAGCTATCATGATAGTTCTACCTACAAAGTGCCCTATCTTGAGTAAATGAATGCTGTATGTTAGGTGTTGTTAATTAATGCCATTGTGGAATTTCAAAGTGTGACAAAGTGTGTCACATGGCATTAGAACTATCAGAAGCCATCAGCTGCTGCCACCTAGTGTGCTCTGTGCTAAATGAATCACTTGGCTCATTCGGTAATGGAAAATACTCTTCACATTACAGGGTGCTTCCTGTTTTACAAATGTTGTATTAAAAATCTGACATCTGAAGCCCGAAATCTGTAAAGCGAAGGAAGTTTGTAGTGGATAAAGTTAGTGGTTGAACAAACATAAAAATGAAGAGTGTGATGAATCAATCGTCGTGATTCTGTTCGATTTTCAATATTTTATGAGTTAAAATGGTTTGACTCTACAGAGCTTTAATAATATACTACACAGCCTGTCCTGGCTCAGGAAAATACAATTTTCAGTTTGAAACGTTTTGCAAAATAGTGATCTTATAAAACAGGACAAGTGAACTATTAACAATTCCAAAACCTGAACTCTTACAAAAGTTATATAATGTCTCCATTTTCAACTCACCAAAACATAAACATGTCTCAAAAGCGCAGTTAAAATATTTGTAAAATATATGATGAGTCTGATACTAAGCATGAACTATAACTAGGTCATCATTTTAGTTATTTCATGTTTTGTGGATTTCACAAACGGCGGCAAATGAAAAGCGGTGTATCAGGCATACAGTTGTAAATTTGAAAACGCTGATCAGAATGTGAATCTTTCAGATTTTTTGATAGTGTATTAAAATCATTACACCCTTAACAAATTGTCTAAAGCAGAGCTGCCCAAAGTGGGGCCCAAGGGCATCTAATTTGGCCCACCGAAAAGTTGCCTACCCGCCCCCCCCCACTCCCTCAGCCAATAAGAGTATGTGAGTGTATATTTTTTAATACAACTTTTTGCTTTTTAGCTTTTTAATTTTCTTTTAAAACTTTGTTTTTAAAAGTACTTTAAGTAACAAAACATGTAGCAGAATGTGATAAAATAAAAATGGAAAATATCTCTGACCCTACATATACGCCTATACTGCCAAGGTGTGAAAACTAAAAAAGCTAACAAATTGCTAAATAACTGTTTTCTCTGTTTTGGCCTTCTACACACATTCCTCCCACACAAAATGTCTAGGCACCCCTGATCCAAAGGGTCACTCCTGACACTTAGCTACTGTTGACATTATGGCCATGTCCTATGCTACAGTCTAGTCCAGGGGCGTCAAACTCAACCACCAAAAGTGCCATATTAAAAAATATCAACAAATCCATGGGCCAGAGAATGCCTATGTTTTTATTTCATTTTAAAATAACATTTTGCAATAAACCGAACTGACCATTGTTTATTCAAGATACGCAAAAACTGCAAAAGTAAAATATAGGCGCTTGTAGTAGACCTTGAAATATTCTAAATTTAAATGTCTCCAGGAGCTCAGTCTTTTAAACCTACCTATTTGCTTGAACTAGACACCTGGCATCCTTTCTTTGCTGCAAGTTCATTAAGACTTAGGCTCAATTTCTGAGCTGCTGTTAAGTGTTTATATTAGCTGAACTGCAGTTAGCTGTTTGGTGATATGACTGGTGTGAAAGTGTGTAGAATTGTGTAGAATTGAGTTGTAACTGCTGTCCCACAGACTGTTGTTGGGGTAGGAGAGTCAGAGAGCGCATTAAGTTGCAGTGCATGCTGGGGACTGTAGTGCAGTGTACTGTGAAATGAACTAATATTAATAGAAAATTAGGATAGGATTGTGTGGCGGGACTGATCTGGTCCATGGGCCTTGTGTTTGACACAGGGGTCTAGTCTAACTCTCTCTCTCACTCTCTCTTTTCTTATTTCAATTTATAAAATTATAAAATTCCAACAACTATATACATTCTGACAGGCAGCAAAGGGGGTAGAGAGGTGGCCGGAGAGGGCTAGTTTTGCTAGACAGTACAAGTACAGCAACACAGCACCACAGAACAGGCAGTGGAGATTAATCATTGTAGACAAATTTATTCATTTGTAGATGTAGTGAAAACATTTTTTCCGTTATATCTATTTCATTTACTAAATCTATCCAATTATTCTATTAAAGGACAGTCAGCAAGGGAGCAGTGCCTAGTTATGTTTGCTTACAGGTACCCCAAATAGGCATTTATCTGACCCTTCAGAAAGTAAATCAAAATCCCTCAAGTATAATTCACTGAACTGAAAGGTATTTCAGGTTTAAATCTGTCCATCAATGCATTATGTACTTCCATCCAAAAATGCTTTACTACTGGGCATTCCCAGAATATACACTCACCCAGCACTTTATTAGAAACCCTTGTATACATGTTCACTCATTCAATTATCCAGTCAGTCAATTGTGTGGCAGCAGTGCAGTGCATAAAATCATGCAGAAATGGGCCAGCAGCTTCAGGTAATGTTCACATCAGCCATCAGAATGAAGACCAAAGTTGGTCTTAATGATTTTGACCATGGCATGATTGTTGGTGCCAGATGGGCTATTTTGAATGTTTCTATAACAGCTCATCTCCTGGGATTTTCATGCACAACAGAGTTTACTCAGAATGGTGCGGTAAAAAAACAGACAGATGGAAACACCCTTTTGATGAGAGAAGTCAACAATTCAAGCTGTCAGAAAGGACACAGTAACTTAGACAACCACTCCGTACTACTGTGGTGAGCAGAAAAGCATCTCAGAATGTACAACATGTTGAACCTTGGGGTGGATGGGCTACAACAGCAGAACACCATGTCAGGTTCCATGTCTGTCAGCCAAGAACAGAAAGGTGAGGCTGCAGTGGTCCCAAGCTCACCAAAACCAAACAGCTAAAGACTGGAAAAACATAGCCTGGTATAATGAATCTCAATTTCTGATGAGAAACACAGATTGAGAGATCAGAACTTGGCACCAACAGTATGAATACATGGAGCCAACTTGTTAATACCAATCAATCATCGGTTGAATGTCACAGCCTATTTGAGTACTCTTACTGACTGTCTGCATCCCTTCATGGCCACAATTCACCCATCCTCTAATGGCTACTAGTATGATAATGCACCATGTCACAAAACAGTCCTCTCAAACTGCTTTCATAAATACGACAATGAGTTCAATTTTCTTCAGCAGCCATCCAGTCACTGAAACTGAATCCAATAGAACACCTTTGGGATGTGGTAGAACGAGAGATTCACAGCATGAAAGTGCACCTGAAAAATCAACAAGAACTGCATGATGCAATTATGTCAACATGGACCAGAATCTCAAAGGAATGTTTCCAACATCTTGTGGAATATATGCCATGAAAAATTGAGGCCATTTTTAGAGCAAAGGAAGGCCCTACCCAAAATTAGCATAGTGTTCCTAATAAAGTGCTCAGTGAGTGTATAACAATGGTGGGCTTCCTGACTCCCGCATTCACCTGCATGCCCTGTAACATGCACTTTATGTTTTGGAGTAACAAAAAATGAATAAGACACTTGCATCTGAACTCCTTCTATACATGTGAATTAGTGTACTTCCATTAAGAGTCACATTATTTTGACCACTCCTCATTTGAAATGTCAAAACCTCTTTCTTTTTATTTATAATACATAGTGAGGAATGGGATTTGTTCATTATGAAGCCTTTAGACAGTCTAGATATAATGCCTTTACTTGATTCTGTTCAATGTGCTCCCGCAATTACTTGCAATATTGATTCATTCATGTCGAGTGTTTCATTTTTCATTTTGTAATCAAGATAGTGGCATATCTGGAAGTATCTATGAAAATCTTGTTTTTTCAGAGCTTTTCTCTCAAGATTTGGAAACAATCCGTTTTTAACAATCTGTTTTCTGTTAATGAATCAATTGTTGTTTCTTCTTTAGCGCTCCAGGTTTTAAATCTATAGTCCATCAAACTAGGTTTAAAATCTACATCATAAACACACCATCTAAATATTCTCAGTTTGTCATTCATATTCCTCTTCAACCTTCAACAAGGGGCATTCCATCCACAAATATTCTCCATTCTTTAATGCCAAGTACTGCATGTATTGGATGATCATTCATCATTGACAATTCAACATCTTTCCATCTTGCATGGAAATCTGCATTGCACAAATTAATCGAAGGTCTAATCTGATCTGCGCGAAAGTAATCTTTAAAATGGTGGAGGGCCATTCCTCCTTCCTCCTTAAAAAGCTGTAAAGTCTGAAATTTAATCTTGGGTCTCTTCCCCTGCCATTTCATCAGATAAATTACTGTAGATGTTGTCTTCATATATTTTGCTGTGGAACATAATATTTAAGTAGCCAGCTAAGTGCAACTGTTCAGCACAGTGGACCTTAAACATTGTTTGTGTGTTTACATACACCAAATCATAATCCAATAACTGCAGAAAATCAGATTTTGTCTGTAATCTGATCAACGCGTTTACATGCACTTGAGTAATCAGATAATGGAAAACTCCAGGTCTACATGAGTCAGGCAGTAATCTGATATCTGCTTTGCAACCGGGCAATAAACTCACAGAATGAGACGTGACGTAAACATACTGTAAAACTCAAACTTTATGCTGCGGCTTTTTTTTTAAACATCAACACTTTACATGAAAATATGAACATACATCATCTAGAAGATGAAGATAATTTAAATCATTTATTTCATATTTGTTTTCAAAAGTGTTTTGCTGCCATCTCACGGCATCGTTGCTTGCTTATTTCTGGTACCGCTCTTTGCTCCGAAAGAAATCAGAGTAAGAGTTTATATGCACTGAGAAATCTGATTACTAAGCTAAAATCCAGCTCTCTTTATTGTGTTTCTTTATCGGATTTCTAGATCGGAGTATGGTGTTTACATGACCATTTGAATGATTGGATAACTGCAGAAATCTGATTATAATTGGATTACTGAGAGCTGGATTTTAGGTCAGTAATCAGATTTCTCAGTGCATGTAAACTCTGACTCTGATTTCTTTCAGATTTCTCAGTCTGCGCATGTGTGGAACAGACTGCTGTACCTGAAAAAAAGCAAGAAGCGTTGCTGCAAGACGCAGCAAAACACTTTTGGAGCTGAAACCAACTACATTCTCGATGAAATGAAGGATGTGAATATTCTTCATCTTCTAGAGTATGTATGTTCATATTTTTAGGTACAGTGATAGAATTTTTTTTTTTAGAGTCGCACATGAAGTTTACGATGTTATGTTTACGTCACGTCTTCTTCTGTGAATTTATTGGCTGGTTGCAAAGCAGAAATCCGATTACTATCTTACTCAGGTAGACCCAGAGTTTCCCCATTATCTGATTACCCAAGTGCATGTAAACACGTTGAACAGATTACAGACAAAATCTGATTTTCTGCAGTTATCGGATTATTAAGTGCATGTAAATGAAGTGCATTGAATGAAATCATTTTCATTTTGACTGAATGGGGGTCCAAAACACATACTTTGTTGACTAGACTATAGGCAGCATCATCCAGTTGGTGTCCCTCCCACAGTGGAGGGCAACGGGGTGTTTTCAACACAATGAAAGCACTGACCTATGAATGACACACTGTGCCTACCACCAGAGCAGGTTCAGACTGTGGTCAGTTCACCCAGAAGAGTAGTGACACTGCTGGAGCCTCTACAGTTCTGTCCGCACGCTGAAGAGTGGAAATAAGCTGCTGGACTTTTATCAATTCTGAAAACGTATCGTCTCTCGAATTGGAGGAAGAATATTCTGTTTGTTTCTTCTGAACACAATATGACTCTAATGGAGGGTTAATACAGTTTTGGTGGAGAATGATCTCTGATATTAAGTAAGTACTGCCTTTTCTATAGATGCTTTGGTGTTGCCTTGTGTATGAATGTAGTTGCTTGTTACAACTAACTAATTCACTATAGTGGGCCACACTCAGTGGATCTATGTTTCAATAATTCAGTTTGAGCCTCATACAGTGACAGAAACCTAAGAGCTAAAAAAAATCTGATCACCCCCAGGGGGTTAGTGGACCACTGAGCTAAGGATTCAGTACAAGGCAAAGCAGTCAGATCAACTTACAGTTGTGTGGATTTGTATAGCAGGTTAAATATGAACTGAAAAGCCAAAGACCACCAAGTAAACAGTAGAATAAAGTGGATGATTCATACTTTACTGGTTTATTTGTCATCATAGCCATAATATTCAACACAAAAAAGGATAAAAATATAGCTACTAACATACTGTTATTTAGGCTGTTTATAATTGTTTAGGTTGTTTATTATTGCTTAAAATTGCTTTAAAATGTCCTTATACTTTATAAACATTTCATGTTGCATGTTTTCCACATGTTTCCCCTTTATTTTCATGCTATTGTGCCTGTGTTGTGTGAGCCTATGTATTGTATTGTGAGTGTATGTTTGTGCAGGTATGTGTGTGTGTGTGTGTGTGTGTGCGTGTGTGTGTGTGTGTGTGACTGTGACATCATTACTCCTCATTGTTCTCAATACTCCAGCATTCTCTGGCCATTTTTTTTCACAGGAAGTCACTTCACATGCTTCAAAAAGTGTACATATGTTATGAATGTTGTAAGACATTTATGAACTGATCAATAGCTATAAAAAAGAATATTATTCAACTTCTTTCTCCAATATCAAACATATGTACGGTTTGGTTAGCAAACACTATACAATATAATAATAATTTGATTTTCTCATAGAATGAGTGCAATTATGCTGTGGGATGACGGATAAACAACCAAGGACAACCTATAACGTAAGTATAGAACCTTTAAACACAAATTATTATGAATTACATTAAAGTACTACAAACCTCACTATAGGTCAAATGCAGTGAATTTCAGGGTGCTTCATATTTTACAGATGCTGATCTAAATATCTGACATCTGAAAGCCAATATATGCAAAGTGGAGGGAGAGCTGTAGTGGATGAATTTACGGAATGAACAAACACAAAGATTAGGAGTGTAATGATACACCTGTTTTCAGATTCAGTACGATTTTCAATTCTAAGGTCAAGATTCTGTCCAATGTTTGATAATTAATGTATTAAAAATGTCTTAATTCTATAGAGCTCTAATTATATACTACACATGCTAAGCTTTGGCTCAGAAAAATACACATTTTATAAACTCATGTAAAACTTTATCATAGCATTTCCAATACTGAAATATCAACATCAACATGTCACAAAAGCACCAGTTAATAAATTTAAACAATTATAAATGGGAGAATTTATATGATTCCATCCAAGACCTCCTTACAGAGAACGCTGATTTTTCCGTGGTAATTTTTTTCTCCCCTGTGCAGTTTTTGCCTGTATTTTGTAATATTCATTTTTACGCTGCTTGTTTTATCTACACATGTATGCTGTTTCTTAATGCACTGCCACCCTACACACTTTCCCTTGTTGTGAAAAGCAATAAAACGTGCAAAATCAATAATAAAAAAAATAATAAAAACAGAAAGTAGTGATTAGTAAATTCTAATCAACTTGTTTTAATTTGTACAAAATGTATTATGTATTATGATGTATCTATTTGAACTTATAATGTATTATATGTACAAAAGACAAAAGCATGATGTTTTGTGTTTTACCTTATGCACTTGTTTTTCTTTTTGTAAATAAACACTTATACATTAACACTTATAAATTTAGCACGTTTTCAGGAGACAGTCCAGACTGCAGGCGGGCCAGCCTACCACCCACACTCTCTAATTACGCAGCCATGCTGTTGTAATATGTGCAGACATCCCTGAAAAAGACATCTAGTAGGCAGCATATGTTGCTCCAAAATGTGTATATATCTTTCAGCATTAATAGTGCTTTCACAGATGTGCAAGCAACTCATGTCATGGTCACTAACACACCCCTGTACCAAGACAGACCCTGGCTTTTGAACTTTATGATGGTAACAATCAGAATTCATCATTTTATTCTTTAGTCCAGAGAACACAGTCAATTATTTCCATAAACAATCTGAGAGGTTGACTCATCAGACCACGATACACATTTCCACTGTGCATCAATGTATTTCAAATGAGCTTGGGCCCAGAGAAGTCGGCAGTGTTTCCACTGTGTCCAATCTTAAATTTCATTTGGAGATGCTGCGATGAATGATGTTTATTGACAATGATTTGTTAAAGTATTCCTGAGCCCTTGTGGAGATATTCATCATAAAAGCATGCTGGATTTCAATGCAGTGCTGTCTGAGAAACTCAAGATTACAGGCATTCATCTTTGTTGTATTTTGCTTTATGCTTAGAGGTTTCTCTAGATTCCCTGAATCTTTTGATGATAATATGCACTGTGAAAAGGGTGAAATACCTAAAATTCTTACAATGGCTTGTTGAGGAACATTGTTCTTAAACTGTTGGATTATTTGCTGACGCGTTATTTGGCAAAGTGGCAAGCCTCAACCCATCCTTACTCATATAGGTTTAGGCCTGGATGCTCCTTTTACACCCTAACATGATTGCATCACCCATGTTTTTTGAACATTGATTTCAACATGTTCCTAGTCTTAAACTTCTCCTGTCCAAACCTTTTTGGAACATATTACATAAATATCTTGGTGCTGTTTTCATTTAAATACAGGTTAAAGTGGATGTACAAATTACTGCTTTCTTTTTTATTTTCATTTCACAATCTCCCAACAAATTTTTGGGATTTGAGGTTTATATAAAAATGCATTTATTACACATAAATAGACTATGAATTAGAAAAGCATTTTTTTAATTATTTGTGTTATTTTATGAAAACACAAAAGAAATCTTACATGATTTATTAACTGATTATTAAGAGAAAAAGAAGAAGCATTTTGAATTTAAACTTTACAGGAGAACCTTTTGAACATATGTATTGCAAAATAATCTTGACCTATAATTTAAAATATTGTTATTTTGCAATTTCTGCACTCGTTAACCAGAAAGGAAATCAAAGTTTAATGTTCAATATTTGTATTTCTTACTAATAAATTTCACAAGAATTGTCTAAACGACAGACCTTCTCTTAATGCTGTATTCATCAGTGCACTGAGGGTTAGATCAGGGTACTCTTTGCGATTATCCTCAGGTTTCATAAACAGTATATTTTTCTCGTTTCAGATGGCCACTAGTGAACCTGACCCTTATAACGAACCTCAACCTGGTGACCTCATCGAGATTTTTAGACCAGCTTATCAGCACTGGGCTCTGTATCTGGGAGATGGCTACATCATCAACCTTACACCAGTTGGTCAGTGCTTCAGGCCTTTTCACATATACACTGCATAGCAGTGATACTGACATGGTAGTGGCATGGTAGTGTGTGCTGCGCTGTTCTGAGTGTTGCAAGTCAGAGACAGCAGCCTTGCTGGAGTTTTTAAACACTGTGTATAATTATTGTCCACTCTTTTAGCTTGTTGGCCCATCTTGTAGATATAAAGTGATGGCCTTATTTCAATGCTTTTTTAAGACGCCCACACCAACTTTGACTCACCACAGAGCTGGCTACTCACAGCAGAAGGGGAAGCTAATAAGCTAAATATGCAACCTACGTATTGCAAAACTTTTTTGACAAGTTTGAACATAACATACATAAGCTATGTGAATAATTGCTTTGTCTGGCTGAAGGCTTTGTTTTTTCTTTGTAGTGTATTGTCTTGATTTTTCCCATTGCTAGCTAACTTGCTAAGCTAGCAGAGTAATGTAATGAATTTATATCAGCCGTCATGTATAACTACATAAATCTCAGTCTGAACATAATTAAATGTTACACTTTGTAACTATTTTTTTGGGGATTATAAAAGTTCTCTCGTGAGAACTGCGTAACGCCTTACAGCACCATGTCATACACCAACAAATCTTCAGTTAGCTATAAGAAGTAACTTGGTATTCCCAACACGGACATCATGGCAGAGGCTACAAGGAGCCGGAAGAAGATGTTGTCAGAGGAAGCGAGGAAAAGAGAGCGTGACTAAGAAAGACACCGGACAAGAGTAAATTTCAGACTGGCTTTTACTCGTTAGCCTGAGCTAAAAGAGAGAAAAAGAAAAAGAGACAAGAAGAAGTCAGCCTAACAGCTAACAGGAAAACGATGAAAATCAGCAGAGTGTCCATCCCGGTCAATGTTATTTATGAAAGACTGCGACGTAGGCTGCAACCTTATCTGTACCGTCTCTGACTCACAGAATTTTGTAGTTTTCTGGAAGCCAAAAGTCATCTAACCTCAGCACCGTTCCGAGAAATAAATTCATCTCTTGGCAGAAAAAAGCCTTCAAAGTTTGCAACCTCTTGTAATAAAATCCTGTAATATTACTCTACCTTGTAAGTTGACATGGTGCTTTCTTCTTCTTCTAGTGTTGTAATATATAGTATTAAAACAGGTATAACTAATCTGTAGTCATCCTCCAGTCCTTCATCAGTTGTCAGATACTTGAGAATAATATCCAAAGTGATTAGCCTATAGTAGTGGACCTATAGTATTCCTTTTCCTGTGATGGACAAGGTAGATGGACACTGATAAATTGTGCAGATGGGCTATAGTCAGCAAGTGTAAACCTATGAAGTGCATTTACAGTCATATGTAAAATTAGCTTTTTTGTTTTACTTTTTTCCGATCTAATAATTCAGGAGGGCGGTGCGGTGGCGCAGTGGGTAGCACTGTCGCCTCACAGCAAAAAGGGCCTGGGGTCTATTCCCGGCCGGGCGACCAGGGTCCTTTCTGTGTGGAGTTTACATGTTCTCCCTGTGTCTGTGTGGGTTTCCTCCCACAGTCCAAAGACATGCAGTCAGGACAAGTGGACGTGCTTAATTGCCCCTAGGTGTGAATGCATATGTCTGTCTGCCCTGCGATGGACTGGCGACCTGTCCAGGGTGTATCCTGCCTTCTGCCCAATGACTGCTGGGATAGGCTCCAGCTCCCCCCACAACCTAGAAGGATAAGCAGTTTAGAAAATGTGTGTGTGATAATTCAGGAAATAAACTATAATAGTGTGTTAAAATGTGCAGATGTATGTTCACTTCTGCACTATTTTCACTTAGAAAATATCAAAACATAAATCATCATATGCAAACTTTTGCAGAAGACTGTAAATGTGTTTATAATAAAAAAGGTACTGGGTGGGATGCCTAATAAAGTGGCAACTTAGTGTATTCACTCACTTATCCAACACATGTATCATGTGCAACTTTCAGATTCATTTCTATCTTCCCTCAGATGAGAGTCAGGCTGCTGCTATGTCCAGTGTGAAGTCAGTGTTCAGCAGAAAGGCAGTGGTCCGGATGCAGCTCCTGAAAGACGTGGTGGGGGGAGATACTTTCCGTGTCAACAATAAATATGACGACAATCACACCCCTTTGCCTGTCACTGAGATCATTCATCAAGCTCAACTCTTGATTGGTCAGGAGGTGTCGTATGACCTGTTGGGCAGTAACTGCGAGCACTTTGTCACCCTATTGAGATATGGGGAGGGCGTATCCGAGCAGGTCTGTCCGTCTCCAGTTCAAGGCTTGACCTTTTATCATTTCAGCAGAATGACTGCAGGTTTCTGGCTTGATGTCTTTGATATCATAAAGTCAAGCAATGGTATTCTACGGAAGCCCTAAAGGGCCGTGGATCTGCATGGTTTTTTTTTTATTTTCATTTGTTTTCTCGAGATCTTGTTATATTGTTATTATCCCGACAAAAACTAATGGTACTTTCTCAAGATCTTGAGTTATTTCCATCATTACTACCACATAATCGACATTGTTTTATTGAGCTAACATTGACTGAATTGTGATAATGGCATAAATATCCTGGGATCTAAAGAAAACAATGTGTTGTATTGTGATAATTATATAAATAATTCAAGATCCCAAGAAAAATGAAAATAACTCATTATCATAGAAAAACAGAATTAAGGCCTTTTAGTCTTCCTTAGTTTTCACCTTATTACACAAGTGAACATTAATGTACTCAAGAAGCAATTCCATTTTTGACCGTGTCTCGTCTTTTGTCTTCTCAGGCAAGCCGTGCTATTGGGGCCATAAGTTTGGTGACCGCAGCAGCCAGTGCCTTCTCTGTGCTCGGACTAATCAACACCCGCTCCAGGAACAGGCCTTTCTGATGTCGCTTAACCTTCACAATTTACACATCTTAAAGCATTAAAAGATGTATGCATGGCCAGTACACAGGGCTTAACTCATGTTTGTTGTGAGAGGTGAATGACTAAATTTGTGCTGCCTGTTAGCTTCTTCTAATGATTTCAGGCTTATACATTGAATCGAGGTTGGTAAAACTGAGCCATTAGCCAAAGGTTCAAAAATGTGAAATGGAGTGTTTGCTATGGCACTGTATTAGGCCTGTGCTCTTTACTTCAGATGTAAAAAAAATGGGTTATGTAGTAATATTAAACTTATATCTATTTTATTGCTTCATTGAAATAATTTAACACTCGTCATTTAAGCAAAAAGAGTGGGTTTTGGGATGTACAATAAGCTAGTGGAAATGCTAAAAGACAAACAACACTACATTTTAAAAAACGTGATCAAAACAGAGGCGTGGCATGAATGTAATTATGAATCCCCACATACATAAGTATATTTACTTTTACTTATTGAATACTTAAGCTAAATATGGGGAGCAAAACCGCTTTCCTCGCCTACGATTGATGACTACAATTCCCAGCAAGCTTTGCATCGAAGGCTCTTTTCATCCTTGGGAAACCCCGTACTCGCCGGGACCGTTTATGTGTTTTACTGCAAAATCCCTCCGCCACATAAAGTAGTCCGCACATCCATGTCCAACATTTTCGTTCCGCGCTTTAAAGTTTCTCCCATGGTCGTGTTCAAACCCTGTTAAACATTTACAATAAAGTGTGACAAACCTTATTTCTGTGGTCTGTGGAGTTTTTCTTTTACTTTGACGGATGCTCAAGTCCTGGCCGAGTGTGCTGCAACGCGCACGCAGCGCTCCAACTTCTCTAGAAGCAGCGAGCGCTGAAGCTTCGGTCGGGTCGTGTTTATGACAGATATAAAATACCTTATCATGAGCAAAGAAAATGACACACACATGGATATTTTAGTTCGCTGTAGTCCTGAAACGAGAGCTGAGTCATTTGCCGTGAATGCCATTCAGTTATCCAAACGTGCCCTGTAATGACTGAGGACCGTTACCAGCTAATCAGCCAACTTAACGGCCAGTTAACGGCTCACGCAAGATGTGTGGTTTACAAGGCTGGCTTGGAATTTATTCAGTTTGCCAGCAAGAAATGACTGCGCTATTACACAAGACACATGCTGTCTTATAGCTGTATGTTCTGGTATACATAGACCAGTTGCATCTGAATGTATAGCTGTAGTTAATAGTGCACTTTCTTGTGATGTTTATAGACCCAGTCCAGTATTTCCAGCACTGCCAGGATGATGGAAGCCTCCCTAACCATTTTTCATTAAAGCCACAGCTGGCTGACTGTCACTTGTTAGATGGGGTTGTTTAGTACTTTCTGGCCTTATACTTAGTTTAGCTAGAGCAGGGGCCGGAAACATAAATGTTAAGAAGAGCCATTTTGTCCTTTCCAAAGAAAAACCTACAATATTTTTTGTCTATTTTATTGAAGTAACGTGTTAATGTTCCAGCATAGACTGAAAATATAAACAAAAATGCAGACTGACTCTGCTCTGCTTTCAGCTTAGTTCACCTATAGCTGCTTTTCTCGCATCTCGGGCAGGAAACTTTTCCGCAAAAGTAGAATAGTTTCTTGTAAAATGTGTCTCAACATTCAATTTTTACAAGGCCGAAGTCAGTTTCTCATTTGCCAGCCTACTGCAGCACCGTTTAAGGTGGACTGGGACAATTCGAACGAGAAGCTGACTTCAGCTTCACAACTTTTTAGTGTTTCACAGTTTCTCGTTGCAGATTAAACGTATCAGGAAACCAGCTGCAGTGATTATAAATGCAAGCAAGTCCATTCATCTCCAAATTATCAATGTTTGTCTTAAATCTTTCTCTTTGCCTTTTCGTTAGCTACTAGCTAAGTGAGATTATTGTCTGCATTGCTATGGTGACCAGCAGTCTGCGTGCCAATCAGGGTTAAAGGTCGGTGAATAAGCAGTTATGCATTAACTTTAGCGGTTGTTGAGTTAGATCAGCAGAGCTTCATTTTGCTGCAAAGGGAGATTATTTTATTTTTACCTAAAAATCTAATTCTGCTATGGAGCCACAACAGGGCAGTAAAGGAGCTGCATGTTGCCAACCCCTGACCTAGAGAGACAAAAACAGAGCAAGGCTGTATATTCTTAGGTAGCGCTCAAAGCTGTGTCCAAAATCTCACACTTCCGCTCTAAATAGTGTGTCAGAACAGAACACATCCATTAGTAGTACATTCGGTAACATAGTACAATCCCTGGCAACAATTATGGAACGACCACACTTAGAGGATGTTCACCCAGCTTTTTTTACTTCTTTGCTTAATAGCTGAACATTCTGGCTCTAAATAAAGGGAAAAAAAAATAAAAATCAACAATCAATATGGAATCACCTTATATGTTGTATTTCTAAAACAAATCCTGGCAAAAGTCTACAAATGCAGTTCAGTGTGCTGTTAAAAGGGAGTCCTCACAGACCTTAACAAGCTGTTGGACTTGGTGAATTGAAAGAAAACTTGGCTCCAGCAAGAGATTTGTCAGTAGAAACAATGGAAAAGATTATTAAACTTCTTCAAGAAGGAAATCCAACATGGAGTGTGGCAAAAGACATCGGTTGTTCCCGGTCAGCTGTGTTTAAAACTGGATGGAAGTTTAAACAAAATGGGAAGGTTCTAAGAGGAAAACAGTGAGATAGACCAAAGAAGACGTCATAGCGTCAGGATAGAAAACTCAAAGCAGTATGCCTTGGAAATAGAAAATGCACAACAAAACAAATGAAAAACAAATGGGCGGAAACAGGAGTCAGTGGCTGTGTTTACATGCAAAGATTTTTGTGGAGAACCATGTGTGGAGAACCACTTAGTGTAGACGTTACCATGACAGCGAGCATCATGTGAGTCCAGTCAGAGTGAGATGAGCAGCAGTGAGCAGTGCTTGTGTTTTTAATAGCTTTAAAATGATGTCAGACTCAGGAAAACGTCCTTCACATGTCCTTATTAAAGAAGGCCGAGAGGAAGACGTCATGTTCTGAAACACACAAGCTGGACGTCCGTCCCACCGCCGTCTTTTAAAGTTCAGAGCATAAACTTCGTCTCCTCTGCAGACCAGTTGCTGCTCCCGCCATGCTGAACGTTATAAACTTTCGCTAAACTCTCCAATTGGGAATGTAATCAGATACAAGCGTTTACACGGTTATTCTTCTATTTAACGGATTATTTAGAGGATAACCCACCTCATACAATCAGATATAAACTGTATTCCGAATGGCCTCAATCGGACTGGTCTATTCTGATTGCAGTGTTTATGTGGGTGTATTCTATTCCGATTGAGCTATTAGTCGGATTATTAGTGGATTATTAGGCTGCATGTAAACGTGGCAAGTGTTTGTGACAGAAATTTCCCCACTCAGTTATTAGAGGGGATTGCCTCTCAGGTAAAGGATGTCAATCATTACCTTGACAGTCAAAGCTCAGGTGTACATTGAAATTTTGGACACTTTTCCATTGATAGAAGGAGGTTTGGTGATTAAGTGATTTTTCAGGATAATGATGCATCTTTTTTCACAGAGCAAAAAGCATTAAAACTTTTCTTCAGGAAAGGCATATCAGCTCAATGACATGGCCAGCAAACAGTCCAGTCTTAATCCGATTGAAAATTGTGATGGAAATTTATAAAATTGGGCCATGAAACGGCTGCATCCTGCAAAGCTGATCTGTCAATGACTATTCGAGAAAGTTGGAACCAGCTTGGTGTAGCAGTTTTTCATTACTGAAAAAAGAAGTCAGGCTATCATAAAAGCCTGAGGAGGAGCAACAAAGTACCAATTGTGCTGTTTTGGTTGATGACTCACTAGATTTTGCCTCAACATTGAGTGATTCCATCTTTTTTTTCTTCTACTTGGTCTGGAAAAAGATGTGCCATTAATTAAAATAATTTTATTAGTTTGAGGGATGTTTTACAAAGCCAGAATGTTCAGCTATTAAACAGAACTAGTTTTGTGTTATATCTGTGATTTATTTGCTACAAAGTAAAAATGTTGGGTGAACGTCTTCCAAGTGTGGTGATTCCCTAATTTATGCCGGGAATTCTACTTATAGTATACTTATATGTCAAGTCAAGCAAAGTTTATTTATATAGCGCTTTTTACAACAGGTGTTGTCACAAAGCAGCTTTACAGAAAAATCCGGGTCCAAGCCCCCCATGAGCGTCGCCAGTGTGGTCTGTGACGCAGCCCATGTCTGCTCTGGCTGCCACACCCTGTTGCCATTTGTAATCATATGCTGACGAAGGACAATGTCAGTGTAACTGTGTACTGATATTTAGTTGATACTGCCCTCAGCTCTAGAGACAGAGACCATGGGGGCCCTGAAGGAATGGAGCCTGATGGTATCATTGAGGTAAGTCAATAAGTCAGTGATGTGATGTAGTGTTGCATGGACTTTAACCCAACAATGAATTGAATTTAACTTTTTGTCCTCTCTGCAGAGCAACTGGAATGAGATTACAGACAATTTTGATGAAATGAACTTAAAAGAGGCGCTCCTTCGAGGCATCTATGCTTATGGTTTTGAAAAACCATCAGCCATTCAGAAGAGGGCAATCATTCCATGCATTAAAGGTGACTGACTTTCATACCATTTTTGCCAGGTTTTCATACTTTTTACTTTAGTTTCAGTACATTTGCTGTGGTTGTTTTGGGGATCAGACTTATACACAGTCGAGTCACATTATTATGACCACCAGCTAATATCCAGACTGACCACTATGTGCAGCACGGACAGCAGCGAGACGGGCTGGGAGTGACTCAGTAAGTCCTGGTAGGCTGTCACAAGTATCTGAAACCATACTGACTGCAGTGCATCCCACAGCTGCTTGAGGGAGCGTGGGGGAGGATCCATAGAGCGAACATGACAATCGAGGTGGTCCCACAGATGCTCAATTGGGTTCAGATCTGGGGAATTAGGGGGCCAGGGTAGTACTTGGAAGTCTTGGTCATGCTCTTCCAACCAGTGTTGGACATTTCTAGCCGTGTGGCATTGACTTGCTGGAAGATCCCATCTGCCCCAGGGAAGACAATCCGCATGTATGGGTGTACGTGATGTGCAAGGACAGATTTGTACCCAAATTGGTTGAGAGTGCCTTCCACATGGATGAGTGGGCCCAGAGAATGCCACAAAAACATTCCCCAGACCATAATGCTGCCACCACCAGCTTGTGGTCATAATAATGTGATTCGACTGTGTGTAAACGCTTATTAAATAATAGCTGATTTTCCTCCATACCTTATGTCTTGTTTTTTCTACTCTGAAAAGGTTATGATGTTATTGCTCAAGCCCAGTCAGGCACTGGAAAGACTGCTACATTTGCCATTTCCATCCTGCAGCAGTTGGATGTAGAGCAGAAAGAAACCCAGACTCTGGTGCTGGCTCCTACAAGAGAGCTGGCCCAACAGGTGCGCCCTCCCTGAGACCCTGCAGTAAGATACTGATACTCAACATTTTACCATGTTATAGTTTCTGCACCAGAAATGGTGTTATAAATGTCTTGTACCTGTTTTTGAAACAATATTCACACGTAAACCTGCTATGTAAATCATTTTGATCGGGTTTTAGCATGTAGCTGTTCACACTCACACGTATTTGTGTTTTTAATCAGATTCAAAAAGTTATCCTGGCACTTGGCGACTACATGGGAGCCTCCTGCCATGCTTACATCGGAGGCACAAATGTTCGAAATGAGATGCAGAAACTCCAGGCCGAGGCTTACCACATAGTGGTTGGG